GGAATTGGCAAGCCAATTAGTAACCTCATCTTTCTCCTTCTGAGCTGGGTCCAATTTCTGAGCAGCGCCTAAACCTTCTTTAGAATAAGCTTTTGTTTTTGTCTCTCTTTCTACAACTTTAAATCTTTCCATTTGCTATAAAGCATAAAAGCATTTACTATATAATTTATTTACAATTTATTTATTCTAATGTATTTTGCTCTAACTCGATCATTAGAAATACATATTACATGCAAATATACTAACAGTCTCAATCAACTTCCGATAATCCAGAAGCGTACTCTTATCCTTTATTTCACCCGACGCGATCCAGCTTTTAATTTGATCGCGTAACCTTTGAAGTTTCTTGATTTCCTTTTTGAGATCAGCCTCGTACTTTTCTTTCTGATTGCTGTTCGTGGCATTATGAACTTTTTGCCAAATATCTTCAAAGGTTTCCACACCTTCCGTTACTTTTTTAAGGCACCGATCTATTTCACCTGAAATTGTACAATACATACATGAATTGTTTTATATATTACATTGTTTTATATTTAGCCCTTCATATAAACTGCTTAATTTTACTTAAAAGTTGTTTAAAATAGAATAGATTTTAATACAAAAAATAACAAATTTATTTATCAGCTTTCTTCATTTCCCAATGCTTATTTTGATTCATAAATAAATTATTTCCAAAGTTTAAACTAATTTGTTTTTTTGATCAAAAGTGACAAATTAAAGTTTCACTTAATATTATAATTAATTAATTTATTCTTCACATAAAATAAAAACTATAAATAATAATTCGAATAAGTTTCACATTTATATTCGTATCACAATTTTTAGAAAAAAAGATGATAACATATATTATAAATAGGATTATTATGAGAGCAAAATCTTCACATAGCATAGACTTTCCAAGGGACAGTCTAAGGATGTTCCCAGGATCCCTTGATAAGCTGTGCTTGATGGATAAAGAAAAAAGAAAACAAAGACTAAGTTTTGTTATGTATTCACTACAAGTTCTTTCCATTTGCTGACACAAGTTAACACAAGTCAACACAAGCATCATTCCACTTTTCTTGACTGAATGTCAAGAAAGATAGATTGATACTTGTGTCGATTTGTGTCACCAAATGGAAAGCATCCTACAAGTACTGAAAATATATAGTATATAATGACGTGAGCTGTAGATTTTTAATATTCACAGTGAATAATAGAACACAACCAAAGTATATACATTCAATGATCACAAAAAATATAATAGAAAACAAATTTTCATTTTTACATAATTATCTTGGGATAAAGAACATTCACATTCTACATCTAAAAATATAAATAACTTGTAGCAAGAAATCTGTTCTTTGTAACCAAACTAGTATGCACTGTACGTAAAAGAAACAGATATATGAAGTTTGGCGAAAGTCAAAGGAATAGAAAGTTTTAGTGCAATCCAGTGTAATGACAAAGGACAGGCTTAAGTATAGTGAAACAGGTTTCAAGGTACACAGCGTATGGCTCGCACTATTGTAATTAATTAAAAAAGTTGAAGTTTAAAATCTTTAAAGGTTATGCTGACAAAATAAAAAGCCATCATGTTCTGCACAATGAAGGACCCATCGCGACTGTAGGAGGTAAGTGAGACAAAGCGAAGTAGAGTCCATGAACCCGGGTCGTCCGCGTTTTTATAAGCCGTTATAGCCATTTGGGCTATGACGCTGGATTGGCGCCTCGCGATATGTTGTATGCCGGGAATCGTGCCGTTCGTGATCGCGCCGAGTCGGCGGGGCGACTTGGCGCGATTCGCCAAAGCGTCTTGATGGCGGAATCGCGGGAAACCGGCGACAAAGAGTGAGAACGTGCGACGACCCGGACGACTCGTCGTCCAGTCCGATGCAGCGGCGATCGCGGCAAGAGACAGGGACGAGGGATATATCCAAATGTAAACACGCTGGTAACACTTTCTCCTCACCTTGCAACTTTCTTGTCGCAGCCATGGCTATGTGAACGTGTGATAAAATGGTTCATGCATAGTCTAGACGTATTTGGTGAGATACAAAGCAATTTATCGGAACAAATAGCTGTGGAACTATTATTCCCCGTGTGATATGGGAGCCTCGGCCACAAGATGGCTTCCGTTTTCAAATGACAACGTCCGACCGACCGTGTGTCGCGCACAGGCACAGAGACCCTCCGCGATTCTGCCCCTAGAGATTTTCTAAGACGCGTAATCACGAGCCCGTTTAACGCCGTTCGCGTATGTGAGGAACCTCCCGCCGAGACGCCGGCGTGTCTTGCTTTTGCCGCCCGTAAAAGAATCGCGAGAGAGGCGAGTAGCATCAACAAACGTGATATACACGAGATACGAAAAGCGAGATAACGTGATACGCGTCGACGCACTCGCACACATTCTATCCGTATATACACTCTAGGGTATGTTCGTAAATGTGAAATATTGCATGACGTGTATCTCGACTGATCTTGACTCTAGACGCGGTCGTGTAACTTCCCTATGATATCTGAAATTGGCTGCATTCCATAACTCCGCAAACCCAATAGAGATGAGTTCGGATATCATCCCGGAATGTGTTCTCATTTGTTAATTTCCAGTACAGTATCCTGTAGCCGCCATATTGTGTTTACTGGGAGAAGCATTCCCTTTTTCCAGTAAAAAGTTTCAGTAAAAACATAACCTAAATTCGTACGCGCTTCGAAAAACCGTTTTCTCGAGCGTGTTTATATATTTGTAAATTTTGCGATTAAGCAAAGAGGTATTGTATTTTTTAGCTAGTATTATTGAAACTTACAAATGAAAAATTTTATATTGAAACGTTAATCAATTCCATGAAAATGAAAAAGTTGAAAAATAATAAAAAATCACCAGAAAGACTTATTTACTGCGTACGAACGACACTGATTCATTAATAAATTCTGGAGGTACGGGAGCTCACTATGATAGGATAATTTTTTATTCATTCAGTTTATCTATGTTAGTTTGTGTTGTGTGTGTGTCTCTGAGAAAGACTCAAAAGTGAGCCGAAACATGTAAGCGCGTTCTAGTGAATAAAGAAGTTTCACACTTTATAGATATATTATTTACGCGACATCTTCTGCGCTTGACTCCTACTGCCCGCATCCTTTCCAGTTCTTTGATTTATGAGGAGTCTTGGTTAGTTTGATTTGTTATACGGATTTATTATTGAATACGAATCCAATAATTCATGGCAAAAGACCAAGATTGCAACACAATACCTCTCAGCTTAATCGCAACATTCATAAATAAATAAACACGCCCAAGAAAACAATTCTCCGAAGCGCGAATTAAAACATTACCTAAATTATGTTTTTATTACAACTTTTTACTAGAAAAAGGAAACGCTTCTTCCAGTAACACAACATGGCGGCTACTGGATATTGTACTGGAAATCAGCAAATGGGAACACACTCTGAGTATTCTTGTGTATCGTTTTAAGGTAGGCCTCTTTTAGGGTGCCTTTTTATGCTAGCGATCGACGTTCATTTTCAGCCGCAAAATAGGTCACTTGATCAAAATTGATACTTAATATTCGTCAATTTCTATTACGTAATTTATTTTGACGCCGAAAATGAACGTTGAGCGTCGGTATGAAAAGGCACCTTTAGGCTGCGCACAATAGCAAGAATAATGCTGCAGACCAGCGCGATGTTCATCGCGTACGACACGCGATATCCAATGAGCGTATAGAGAATGTCAAACTACCGACTCTGAGTCGCTGACGACGCTGACTTGAAAAATAAACTCGAATCTAAACGCAAGTTGGCCGATCCAATCAGTCAGCGTCTTGCTATGATTCCGCTGAGGATTAACAGTCAGAATTGGCAGTCGAGTCGGCCTGCAGAATCGATAGTCTGATACGGCCTTAAAAACAAGGGATATGCTCATGATATAACGACAAATAACGTTCATGTCAACTGGCCAATCAGAATTGTCAACCATACAGTCACATAAAGGTTGCAACATTTTTTTTTCCGATGGGTTTCAGAATGCAGCTGGTTAATTCTTTCTTCATTCAAGATCTTGGACCGATTTCTAGCATTGTGGACATACGGTTTTAAGTCGAAATCAAAGTGTCGTGGACATAAGGGCTGCGGTTAGCGTACTCAACAGTTGAGTGAGCGCTTGCTGTTATTGATATATTCTTTCACATCTAAAATGCTGATGCACCCAATGGTGTATTCAGTACGACGACCGCTCACTGAGCGCTCATTGAGCTCTTGTACCTGTTTGGTCTATATTTTTACATCTAATGAAATATGCCAATCAGATGCAAGAGCTCACTAAGCGCTCAGTGAGCGATCATGCTTTTGGATGCATCCAATAATTGTCCAATAAAAAATTCTAGGCACTGGTTGAGTGGCTAAAGTAATTAAATGATACGTTTCTTTTTACGCAGCCATACAAAATCCATCTGTGAACAAAGTTACTAGAATATTCATAATTTAATTGGTCAATAACTAGTGAATTTGCTCACTTTTGTAATTTTCATTTCAAGATACACAATCGACCCCCCCCTGGACAACGCTAGAAACGCTTTTATTGGCACATTTATAAACAGGGCTGTTCGCGCGCGAACAAAGTGTCGAAAGATATCAAGAGTCTCGTTGATTAGAGAATTTACGTTCGACGGTTTTGAAGTTTCTGAACCGCCGTCGCTGCCGGTTCGCTGATCGTTCGCCGGTCGTGTTTACCGGTCGCGTGTCATCGTTGGTGTAAGGGATCAGGGGATGACGGGCACCACGTTGGATGTACGCGTGTGCGTCCGCGAGAGATGTCACCGTATCATCGTACGACGGCCCTGAGCACTGGTGACTGGAGTGAGCGGCATTCGCGTTCAATGTTAATCCGCGTCCGCACCTCTATTCTCTCTCCGTCGTTGCTCGTATACGTATCCAAGTCTACGGCGGACGTCACGTCATTGTTAGCAGCAGCCAGCAGTAATCTCGTGACTGTGGAATCAGTACCGCCCATTGAACTTGGGTTTAACCTCTGCACGCGGCTCTCATCAGATCTCTCAGAGCGAGCCGCGGCACGGTCGCTATGACAAAGGGTGGCATCACTGGGAACGTGTTGGAAGCACGGATAGTGCGGCGCTCATTGATATGACGCCATTTTACTAACCTTTTCGTCGCGTACAACTACCAGTTTCTCCAAGTCGCTCGCAGTCGCCGAAACGTTTCGTACCGTGTGCCGCACGGCTGATCTTATCGTCGTAAGAACTACGCTCGGCCGCGACGGCCGATTCGCGTTCTGCGAAAGTAAGTAAGTTTTTCGAAAGTTCGCTTCGGTCGACCGTACGATCATAGAAAACTCGCGCGCGCCCCGCTCTCTCGTTCACCCATTCTCCCCCGCGAGTCATCCTCGTGTACGGTACACATTTCCGTCGTCTTTGTCCATGCCACGCGTCGTCCAGCTTCCGCCAGAAATCATCACGAGACTCGTGCGAACGAAGAAGAAAGTACGACAGAGCCAATCGTCTTGTAATCCGTTGATCTCGTTCCGGGATCGGCGTGCCTTCTCCGGACGCCGCTTCTTCTTCTCCGCCGTTTCTTCGAAAAGTGACGGATCCCGTGCGATCGGCAAGCCTGAAGCCATAGCGAAAGCCTCGTGTTTCTCTGGACGTGACATGTGACTGTGAATCCGAGTCCGAGTTTTGTTTTTTCGCCTTTCCTTTACGCTAGCAAAGGTGTGAAATCCTCTGAGAATAGAATCGTGACGAGTGATCGTCGTCTACGTGACGAGTCATTAACGTGCGTAATGTGACGCAATAAGACTATCCTGTTTTCATTGCCACTGAGAAATCGTTAGCACAAAATGATGTGTTGATGTGTTTTTTTCTGTTTTATTGAAACATCGTCTGTATTCTAGAAGGCTCTGATAATTTCGAGTTTAACTTTACATCGCTGAGATTAACGATATTTTTTTTTAATCGTAAATAAACATACTCGGTGCATGTTTAGTTTTAAATCGTAATTATAGCTAATCGATTTTTAATGAATATGTTATTTCGAATAATTTACATGTGTAATTATGAATCATTACACATGTATTTTATATTTAGATATACATTATATATGTATATGCAGATGCAATATATAATTATGTGTTTTAGGTAGATCGCTGTAACAGTTTGCACTATTATGGAAGATGAGGATGGAGAAAGTAAAGTAGATATGTGGAACATTTTGGACAAGCAACGACTCAATGATTCCACATTGGACAACCCATTGAAACATTCCATTGACGATGTATACACTGCTGTAATTGAAGAGGAGAAGCAGTTAATACGCTATAACTCGATCATAACGAATGATTCGCCAGGTAAAAATACCGTTGCGGGGCCAAATTTTGTATTTAAGGGTTTCAAGAAGCGTATCTTGGCCGAAGCTCGAGAAGTTCCTACCGCTGCATCAAAGAACAATACACCAGAGCTGCGACAATTGACGCATCTCAATGCAAGGACTGGCAGAGACAAGAAGGTGGAGAGGAAGCGGAAGCGTAAGATAACGGAATACGCTCAATATCTGGGTCTTCGACCGTCCTCGAAGTACAAGTGCTCCAAGTGTCACGCATGGTCTGGTTACGGTCCCAACTCGAGACAGAACTTGTGTGCTTGTAATCCTAGTATGACACCGATGCCCAGTACCTCCGAGTCGAGTGCTTCGGTGCCGCACGCGAGCAATTTTAAAATCACGAGGAAGGTCTATCTATGCTCGGCGTGTGGCACATATTTCGAAAATTGGAACTTGTTCTTACACATGAGGGATACACACAAGCGTCACATATGCCTCTACTGCCTGGGTATGTTCGGCCAGGCGGAGAGGCTGTCGTATCATCTGATGAAGAAGCACAGTGTTCCAGAGATGGCGTTCTCCTCGGTAGAGGATTTCTACAATGCCTTCAAGGGTTCGTGCTACCTTATCTGTTGCAGCTGCGAAAAAGTATTCTCAGAGACCGATGACTTCTTCAATCACTTTTGCTCTCCAGTATTGGAGCAGGACCCAACTGTTACTGTTGCGTCAATGTGCACTATATGCAGACAAAGCGGAACACACGCGAGTACCTGTAATGTTACGCTGTCATTGGATACGGATAAGGAAGTGTGTAGCACATCAACGCCACTGACAGTTGCCGATACGACGTATACAGACAATTCATCGCCGACAATGGTTCCTCCATCGGAAATGGTTACAAATCTCGGGGGTAAGGGACTGCCAAGAAAAGCGATAAAATACAACAGGAGAAAACGCGAAAGAGACGGTATGCAAAATTCTCGCCAACAAAAATCAAGTACACTAATGAAAAAGCTCAGTGCGAAAGTTCAGTGTAACGAAACTCAACTTGATTGCGATCTCGATGTTCAAAGAGAAATTGCAAATAACTTACCCCGAGACACAGTTACCGAGACGATAATGGAAGTGTCCAGGTACACGGGCGGCAATTCATCTGATGAAAATGATGAGAATGATGAGCAGGCGGTGAATAAAGATGTGCACAACAATCGTGATAGAGGGTCGGGAGGAAAATCGCCGGTTCAGAATTGTCAGCTTGATTTCAGTGAACCTTATGATAGCGTAACCGAGACCATCATGGAAGTATCACGTTACACGGGTGAAGAAGTTAAGAATGAGAGAGAAGATGTAACGTATACTCCAAACGCATGTGCGTCACAGACAGTTGAAAAAATGAATACCGAAGATGAGGGAATATGCGACAAAAGCGATGTTGATCCGACACGCTCGGCCAGTTCGAGAACACCTAGTCCAGCACAATTTGATACCGAGGAAATTACGACAGCGGATACAAAAGCGAACACTATGTGCGAGACTGGAACTAAATACGACAGTCCGCAGAATGCACGAAGTTGTAGTCCCTTCAATCGATCGTTATTTAGTCCACAACACGAATCGCACATATCGGACCCGCAGTCTAAAGAGATAGAAAGTTTCGAGGATAACGACAAGAAAGTGAAGAAACCTGTTGCGACAAACGCCACTGAATCTCAAGCCTCGGTGTCATTTAACGCCGTTGCTTCTTCCGATAGGAGTTTGGTTATTAAGATTTGCAATAGGAATTCGCAGTTCAGCGTCGCAACAACCACCGTTATGAGTAGGGAATCCGAGGAAAACAACAACGCCGAAGGATCGACATCGAAGGAGAGGATGCCAAACGGTTCAGAAACTGGGAGGGAAATCATTGATGATGATCAAGCAAACGAGCTGGATGATAGTGATTCTGACAGCGATAAATTGGCGGTAGTAGATAGCAATCCAGAAGAAGATGAAGAAGTGGAAGATGGCGAGGAAGGCGAAGCTGATGAAACTGAAGAAAGACACAACGAAACGGAAGGCAAGGATCAAAGGAATCAAGAAGAAAATGATGAAGTTAAAACTGGAACATATACTGATGAATTATTTTCTGTCACGGAAACGATGCCGATAAGCAACACCAGTGAAACATCCGTCAACAACGCAGTTGTAAGTGTTGAGAACGAACACATGAAAAGCCATACGATCGACAACGGTGGTATCGTGTTAGCCGGCGAGGATGTTCCATGTATTGACTTGAACGTCGAGGGCACTCTGGACAGCATGGAGTTGGAGGACCTGTTGAAACGTTGCATAGAGGCAGCCAGTCCCATCTGCGTGTACTGCAATCACGCACGGTACATCGCGGTCAATGGCAGACAACTGGGCCTGCACATGCTGGCGGAGCACAAGTTTCAACCACAGCATCCCGCGATAATCATACACGCGGAGCAGTTCACTGCTAGGGTGAAGAGGTCCCTCGACGAACTCGAGTCTCGTTACTTCAACTTAGATACGTATAACAGCGCGGATGGCACGTATAATGTGCCGAACGTATTGATATATGAGTGTTTTCATTGTAGATTTCATTCGACAGTGCACAAGGAGCTTTATTTGCATAATCGAAAGATGCATCAGAAGACCATATTGATTTGCATAATGTGCAAATCGACATTCTACAGTTATAGCGAGTTAGTGTGCCACTTGTGTCCTGGAATTTATTCGCCGAATGTTAATCTACGATATCGATGTTGCCTCTGCTCTGTAGCGAATCTGCCGTCGGCATTTCGACTGATGGTTCACGTGCGCAAACGTCACCATGCCTGCGACGTCTGTCTGGAATCTACAGGCAATCAGCAGCGTCTTTCGAATCACGTATGGAAGCACAAGCTACATCATTTGTGTTACAGATGCGGCATCGCGTACCGTAATAAACCGGATATCACGAAACATCTATTTTGGAAACACGGCACGGAGAGCGTTCTGTGTCGAAAATGTCTGCAGAAGAAATGGCCGCACATATATCATTTCTGTATACCGCCTACAGCGTTTGTTTGCGAGGAATGCGGCTTGAGTTTTGGACGCGCGGTAGCGCTCAAGGTGCATAAAAGGCTGCACTCCGGCGATTCACCATATGGCTGTGACGAGTGCGAACAGCGTTTCATATCGCGAAAGCTCCTAGCTAAGCATCAAGCGGCTCACAGGGAACCTGAACCTGAGGATGTCCATGTGAATGTGACGGATGTAGTTAACACTTCACTAACGGACAAGGATGAGAAATCGGATAGGAACACCTCCGTAAGCATAACTGATGGAGACCTGATGACGGGAGTCGAGACTACGTCGAAGAACATTAAAGAGGCTGTGAAAAAAGTAGTCGATGTTTACGATCTACCGCCGCTCAATCTATCATCCGAAAGTGATACTGATAGCGAGGAGGAGAAACCCGCTTCCACGGAAAAACCACCGGAGAAAGAGAATATCGATGAAGACGTAGCAAAGAAGAATGAAACTATTGAAACAATCGCTGCCGATGACGATGACAGTGCTGTGTTGAACAATGATATAGTTGAAGTGGAACGGAACGAGGAGGAGAAAAAACAGGAAGCGCGTATTATGGATGGCATTTGGGACAATTTTAAAACGTACGCTGCCAGTTTGGACGTAGAGGAATCCGCCAAGAATGTCGCGTTGAAAGAGAGCGTACCTGAGACCGACGCGGCGTATTTGAGAAGTATCGTTTTTTCTGATCATGATTATTGTGTAGTAAATTCGTCCGACAAAGAAAAGAATGAAGATCAAGTTACTTCTAAGGACAATGACATGAAAGCGAACGATACCAAATCTGAAAGAAGTCCGTCACCCGGTACTCCGAGTCGCAATACTGGAGGCGACAGTGACGCGAACAAACGGAAGGTAAAAACTCCTAAGAAGAAGAAGCGGAGTGGCAGCACATCATCCACGAGCGACTCTTCGAGCGATACCGACTCGAGCAGTTGTTCGTGTGGCACCAACTGTAGCTGCAGCAGCTCTTCGTCTGGCAGCTCCTCCAGTTCTAGCAGCAGTTCCGATTCCGACAGCTCCGCGTCCGAGAGCTCGCCCAGAAAGCAATCCAGCAATCGTAAAGATAGGAATAAAAAGGAAAGAGAAGCTACGCGGGAGAATAAGTCGCAGTCCGTTGAACCGGAGAACAAGCCGGAAGACAAGCTGGAAGACAAGCCGGAGATTGCAATAGAGAATGGTCCTGTGCTCCCCGAGATAACGAACGAGCCTTCTCCAGCGAAGCTTCTCTTGCGGGAATCTGATTTGGAAACTGAGGAAACCGAAACAGATGAAGATTTCTACGACGAGTACCCGCAGTTGCTCGCTAATAAATTGATGGAGGAGAAGCGCAATCAGTTGCTGCTACTGGCTACCGTAGCGCCAGCATCGACGCCGACCTCCACGCCAACCTCGACGCCAACCTCGACATTAATGCCGGTGATGGACCAATCATCGATGCCACTAAATAATGGCGTTCTAGTCGCGGAAACGACACCAGATCCGGTTACAATGACTATTGAGAATCAACAACTGCAACAACAGCAGCAGCAGCAACAGCAGCAAAAAAAGAAAACGAAAACGAAGAAACGACGAAAGGGTGAGAGGGGCGGTAAGCGTAACGCGATTACAACAGCCACCGTGGAATCAATCAAACTGAACATTCCCAAGGCACTTTACCAGAAGAATCCGGGATTCGTTGCATCGTCGCAATCAACGCTGGTATTACATCCTAATAGTAGATCCTCGACGCCGAACCTATTGCCAGTTGCAACATGTAACGACTTCCACAGCGGCAATGCTACGAGCATTGCGATAGAAATGCAACAACAACAGCAGCAAGCATCATCGACTACCGCTGTCATTGGTGTACCGAATCAAAATGTCGGTGGCAACGGCAGCACGGAGACGGAAAACAAGAGAGTTTCGAAGAGGAAACGCGTACCAAAGCGTTTTTACGGTGACTCGAGCGACGACGAACCACAAGAAAAACAGTCGTTCAACCGGTGGCGAAAAATCGAGACAACCTCCACAATCGCCACCACTATCCCAGCTTTCACACCGCTGCCATCCATGACGACGATGACGCCGACGAATCCGAAACCGCTGGTGTCAAGATTGTCCTTGAGCGGAAAGACTATACAGACTTATAGTAACAGGTCCGCTCAGGTGGAGCAGGCAGCGAGTCAGCAGCAAACTGCTCTACCTGAGGCATCGCCAATCGTCACAGCGACATCCGCCACCGAGTCCGAGAGTAGTAGCGATAGCAGCGAATCTGAGACGGAGAATATCGTAAATCAATCGAAGATTAACCAACCAACGATACCACCTGTTAGCGCGCCGACGACGGAGCGACCCGGCAAGATCTATTGTTACTGTCAATGTCCGTATGATGAGGTATCAGAGATGATAGCCTGTGACGGTGAGGACTGCCGCATCGAGTGGTTTCATTTCGAATGTGTTGGTATAATGGTACCGCCCAAGGGTAGGTGGTACTGCCCGGACTGCAGAAAGAAACACGGTATTGTGCAAAATGATGAGTACTGCGATTGATAGTTGCCACGCGGGATGTTAATGACAACGGCATGTTATTACCAAATTTGAGCGATCATTGCTTTTTAGGCGTAATACTAGAATTTTCCTCTTTTCTTTTTCACGAGCGTATGAAAAGAAAAAAAAATTGCTACACTGTTCCATGTTGATATTTTTCTTAAGCCAATACACAGAGTGTTTGTATATATACTATGTAAATACGTCTTAGAATTATAAGAATGAAATGAGGTTTTTTGTGTACATTTCTTTGTACTTCTTTTAACGACAGCGTCATGTATAAATACATAGCATTGGTAGATAGATGAATAAGTAGATGAATAGGTAGATAATATCACTAACAAGGTATCATTATCAACAAATTTTTTTTTTAACTATATCTGAATTAGTGTATTAATTGACGATTTTTTATTATTATATAGATGCTTCATATAAATAAGCACATATTTACAGCAACAATATATATTGCTGAAAACTACATTTTTTCCAACTATTATTTATATGGATGAAATACGATATCATAATAAACATTGCCAGATGTCTATATAATAATAAAATTAATAATAAACGACATTAGATCGTATATGATTACACAACTAAATAACAAAGTCTTATCGATCTGAGATAGATTTTATTTACCAATTAATGCTTAAATAATATTTCGATGTGAAGTATATATATATAATATATATATATATACTTTATGAGATCCTTGCATATTTATTAATATCAATCATTTTTAACGTAATTCCATATTTTTTAAACACCATTGTAAGAATTTTACAATAAACAGGCTAATCGCAAATTGTCTGGCGGTAGCAATCTTAAAGAAATAAATCATCGTGGAAGGCAGCGAGGGTAAGTTATTTATTAGACATTTGCGACATCGCGGTTCAATGCCTGATAAGGCTAA